CGTTGCGCCCTCTCATTGTCCAACTCGAGGCTCGTATAGTTTCCTGTTGTAAGTAAGCAGATGCAAAGCTGTAAAGGAAGGTGAAGCGAAGAGAATAATTCTTTTGCTACCGGGGATGTATTGAGACTTAAACCCCGAACATAAAGGTGGCGCCAGCTAATTGGCTCTCCAGCCATTACCTTTGTTACGTCAAGAATCGGACTGAGAAAAGAGATACGATGATGCTCCTGATATCATCAAAACAATGTTCTTTCTCGGCACGATGAACGAAAAATGTTTTCAACTCATGTGGGGAATTATGATTAAGTAGGCTTCCCGTACACTCACTATTCACACTAAACTTGATTTTGTACCATGGCCCTCCATACTCTAAGCCACCCTATCAAAACCCAGTTTAATAACGGCTCAGTTCATAGTTCGATCATTGCATAAGAATGAATTACCACCAAAACAACCTTACTCTGTTAGTAATTTGATTCTTCATTTGTAATTATAACTGAATGTTGTGGTGATGTTCAATCTCGTTGGGAAGTCCCTAGAACAATATTTACGTAGCCCAACAATACTGAAGTTGGGTTATTTACACTTTGTACTGTGTGGTGTACATGCACCTGGCCATATGCGTGTGACTTGGACACAACACTCGCTCTCTCATGTCATGTACAATGGTGGCCAGACATGTGGCGCAAGTTTCCGTCGGCTTTATCACCGAATTTGAGAGGTGTACGTGGGTGAAGCGGCCTTCAAGTTGACTTCCCCTGGGTTTCACATATGTAGCATCAGTAACGGTGATACTGGGGTTGTTTTCCCTTTTCTGTTTAATGGTAATCATGTAAAATTGTGCAAACTTTAAGCTGTCTGATGTTGTACACGCACGTTCTGTGCATGTTTTATTTTTCAATTCTCCCCGTCCTGAAGAACTCCAATAAATCAGTTCATCGGGTGATCAGACTTTGAAGGTACATGTCTGGGTGTATGTCTTGTCGTCCAAGTGAATGATACACTGGGGATCTTGCCAGCGAGGCTCAACCTGTAGGCTCAACGACGGACGGCGAGCAGCGAGTGCCTTCCCCGCTACATTAAAAAATTGGATTTAAGATTTAAATAAGTTATTTAATCATCATTGACAATGTTAAGCGTTTGAAAAAACCCACAAACTTGTGAAGCAATCCCTGGAACATTGTTTTTGTAAACGCTCCATAGGCCCTATTTAGTTTATTTAAAGTGTCGTGTGTGCAAATTATGGTTGCAGATCCAGCTTGTACACCCACCCACATGTGGCATTTTAGCTAACCGATGAATGGCGAACATGTGCTTGAATATTGAACTGATGCCGTGGTGGACAATTTCATATGCAGCAAGGTATGAGACGGAGAGAA